AAGTACTTCTAATACATAATAATAATATATCAATAAATAATAATAGTATAATATTAATTGCTTTATAGATATTTGTATTTATATTCATATTTATATAGCAGAATTGTTGACGTACATTTAAAACATTCATAAAAATCCAGCCATTTGCATTTTCTTGTGGTGGAGGTTTGGTTTAGATTATTTATTAGAAACTGGAACAATTTTTGTATCCAATCTCGGTCGGATTCTGAGTGATTCTTTAATTTTTAGTTGGGGAAAGATTCACGGGTCTAGAAAGAACGCTTTGGCTTTGACAAGGGAACATCGATTACTTTGACTGCGAATTTAGTATTGTTTTTGGTACCATTCGATAGAGGACTCCCGACTTCCTATTGCGAAGTGTTATCCGTTTTTTGATCAATGACTTTGGGACCGATTTATAGCCGTTCAAAGTTTCAGTCTTTAGGGGTGGTCAAGTACATATAAGGAAAAGAGAGTAATGGAGCGGGCTTTGTCCTTATTTTGACTTTGCTTTTTTCACATTGTCTTACAAGGAGGAAAAAGGGAAAAAGCAAGAGGCCTGTCGAAAAAAGAGGGGGAGGGAAAAATGCCGGACCCAAGATGGGAGTGCGGGTTTTTTGAGAAAAATAAGAGGGAAGCCAGAAAAAACCCCTTAGGCATGTTTCCAGACGCAGTCTCGATTTGAGCTTTTTAAAACTACTTTAGGTACTTTTCTGTTTTGTGACCGCACTTTAAAATGTTTAAAAAGGGTCATGAATATGCAAAAATTATATGTCATTCGAAAGAGCTCTTCGAGCTGGGTCGAATGGCACCGAAATCAGCTCGAGATCTTGTTAATGAGCCAAGATAAAAAGGTTCAAAATGGTCAACGTAAACCTATGGATGGCATAGCTAAAGCTAAAACAAACGATCAAAACTTTGTCCAATCTTGTTCAATAACGGTGATTTTGGTGTCTTTCGACTCAGCTTGCCGAGCTCTTTCAAATGACATACATTCCGGTCATATTCATTATTTTGACCTTTTGATCCTTGTATCTTTTGACCTTTCGAGCCCGTACCATTTTGAAACCCACATGATCCTGGTGCCATTCGACTCAGCTCGAGGAGCTCATGACATATAATTTGTCCATATTCATGACCCTTCTTAAACATTTTTAAAGTGCGGTCACAAAACAGAAAAGTACCCTACTTTATTTTTAGTTTCTCAATCGAATCCTTGTGGACAGCATTTAAACAAACTTTTGAGTCTGAAAGGAATGGTTGATTTATTTGTTCGTGAAATGCCAGAAGAGCTGTATCATTCAAAATATAAGAATCCTGTTGCTGTTTTTGATAAAGGTTAACGTTAATTATATTTTTCTAGGGAACACTTTAGTCCTATCATTTCATTCCTCATGTTTTTCTGATAAGGGCTTTTATTTCTTTGAATACTTTTTGTAAATCGAAAGTTATGGACTTTATAGTATTGGGCTGTGCTGCTGCCAAACTGGTCACAGACTTTTGGGAGGGAGGAATTTGAAAGTTGAGGAAGCGCTGGAGACTTGTAGTGTTACAACAAGGAGATTAATCATTGATTGAATTTGTTTATTGAGAAAAGACGACATTAATTGTGTTACAACCCATTATTTAATGATTTTCAGTAAGGTTGTCGGATAGTTGGAAATCTTAGGATCCGAATCCGACAACCTTAATCTTAAGTCCTACAAATAAGCTTTAAATTCATTATTCTTATTAGTTATAAAAATATAAAAATCAATTATCTATTAATACTTTATTTTTACTACATAAATATCAGACTAATCAAAGTGGATTACATTTTTAAAAATAATCTTTTGTCAAACTTTTTAATTTACTTTTTTCCTTTATTTCGGTACTTTTTGGATATGCCTCCTCCCCCTCCTAGTTTGGGTATTATTATTCTTTACTAGGGTTGCCGTTTTCGAATTGGGCCGACGTTTGAGTCATTTTTCGGGGGTCATTTTTATTTGGCCGGGCCGGTCGATTCTTTTTCGGGCCAAAAATCGAAGCCCGATTCTATCTTTGAACCTAGCCGGCAACCCTATTCTTTACTTACATTTCAATTATATTGTGTAAGAAAAATAAATGAAAGGCATGAAGAAGGAAAAAATAAAGGATACTCAAACTAGGGGGGGGAGGGTGGGAAGTTGCAGGCCCTATCCCAAAAGAAGGGTCGAATCGTTTTTTTCCTTACTTTTTATTTTTTATAAAAATGGTCAATTTTCGTTAAAGTTGATGTGTTGATGTTTGCCTTGAGAAAGAATGGAGAAGGACAGACAATGACTGAAAACACGATGGACAGACAAGACACGGACGTGTACGTCCTTGTTTTGTCCGTCCGAGTCTGTCCGTGTTCGTCCGAGTTTTGACTGTCCGTTTTTTGTCTGTCTGGGTCCGTCCGTGTTCTGTCTGTCCGAGTTCGTCCGTGTTTTGTCTTACGAACTCGGACAGTCAAAACTCGGACGAACACGGACAGACTCGGACGGACAAAACAAGGACGTACACGTCCGTGTCTTGTCTGTCCGTCGTGTCTTCTGTCATTGTCTGTCCTTCTCCATTCTTTCTTAAGGCAAACATCAACTTTGAGGAAAATTGACCATTTTTATAAAGTAATAAAAAGTAAGGAAAGAAACTATTCGACCCTTCTTTTGGGATAGGGTCAAGTTGCATATCCAAAAAGTACCCTTCTTCTGTTGCTAAATCCAATTCAATTATCATCTTTTTTCTCTTCCTTTGTTGAATTCTCTTCTTCTTCGCTTTCCTCCTCTTCAGGCCCTTTTTCAGAAATAACAGTCGCTTCTTCAAAATTATTTCCTTCATTTCCATGATTAATTTGTGAATTAACAGATGAAGCCCCTTCTCGATTATCAGCTTGAATCGTTAAAGCTTGTCGAGCTCTCATTTCTAGACGGTATTTTTGTTTCTTTTCTCGTATTTTTTCTCTATTCTGTTCGTAGTAGTTTCGATTATATTCACGACGTCTTGCATTATTCCTTCGGTAGTCTCGATAGACTTCTCTTCTTCTATTTCTATTAAAATATAAAGTTGAATTATATTCTAAAAGAACAAATCGTGTCCAAGATTGGGTTAAGTAATCCAATTTAAGTAATAAAACATCTTAGCTTAACTTTATTAAAAATAATTGTTAATTAAAAAGACAGCCTTTCCCACTTTCTAAAACGAGAGGTATCTAAAAGGGGTGGCGATAAAAACCGAAATCCGACTAATTATGAAAGAAGAGACTATTAATTTGGCTGTGTTTTTGCACATTGCTTTAGGACCTCATTTTCAGCGCCCGGACCTCATTACTGCGAATCCAATGTGTTCGTTATAATTAGATTGTACATTTATATGGAAATCCATATATTTTTTCCTGAATTCCTATGGCTGTGAAACGTACGAAAAACATGTTTTTGGCTTGTTTTAGGGCTTCTGTTTTAGGGCTTCTATGTCCATATATTCCATATTTGTCCATATTTAGCCTTTATATACACTCTGTAACAAAATGATAGGACCCCCTAGTTTTTTTCAATATCCTACCAAATATTACACGGATTTGTTTCAAATTTTGGTAGAATATAGGTAAGGATATTATGTATCAATAATGAAAAGAAAAAGTTGAATTCAATTTTTAAAAAAAATTTTACAATAATAAATATGATTTTGGAGTGTAACAAAATGATAGGACCCCCTGTATTTTCGACCTTCGGGGTGGTCTGAAAAATCTACAAAAATCCCTGTAAACATATCTATTGATATCTATAGTAAATACAAAAGAAACGAAGTTCCAATATAATTCCTTCATTGAGATATGAAAACCCGAAAATCAACGGAAAACAGGGGGTAGACGTCTTTAAAAATTATTTTCGACCCCTTACAGGTGAGACAAAAATTTTATTTTAGGCTTATTTGAAAGCCCTTAAAATTTGCTACAAGATAGTTTCCATCTCATTATCCAGAAAAAATTATTCTTTGAGAAATAATCAGTTTAGTTTGTAAGTATTATTTTCATCACTTTTTGGGCGGCGTTTGAGTGATTTTTATGACCTGAAAGTTAATCACATTATGTCTTCAAGGCGAATTTTTTTCAGAAAATAAAATTAATGCTATATTGTAGCAAATTTTAAGGGCTTTCAAATAAGCCTAAAATAAAATTTTATCTCACCTGTAAGGGGTCGAAAATAATTTTTAAAGACGTCTACCCCCTGTTTTCCGTTGATTTTCGGGTTTTCATATCTCAATGAAGGAATTATATTGGAACTTCGTTTCTTTTGTATTTACTATAGATATCAATAGATATGTTTACAGGGATTTTTGTAGATTTTTCAGACCACCCCGAAGGTCGAAAATACAGGGGGTCCTATCATTTTGTTACACTCCAAAATCATATTTATTATTGTAAAATTTTTTTTAAAAATTGAATTCAACTTTTTCTTTTCATTATTGATACATAATATCCTTACCTATATTCTACCAAAATTTGAAACAAATCCGTGTAATATTTGGTAGGATATTGAAAAAAACTAGGGGGTCCTATCATTTTGTTACAGAGTGTATCCATATTTTATATCAATATTTCTCTTTTTTTGAATATTTTGATTAATATTAGGTCATTTTTTGTTAAATTTTAGTAAAAATTGATGAAAATTTTCAAAATTTTGGAAATTTTTGGTCAAAAAATTTTTTCAAAAATTTTTCGGAAAAATTTATTTTCAAAAAAATTTTAACATAAATTTTAAATCCATAAAATCTCTTAGAATACTCTTAAAATACAAATTTAAAGGCAAAGTTATTGTTTTCTACATAAAATACTGATTTTTAAAATATCTTTTTACAATTTTTTGATCTATATTTCGGGATTTTATATCCATATTTAGCGCTTATTTCCATATTTATATCCATATTTCAGGATTTTATATCCATATTTTATGTCCATATTTTTCGATTTTATATCCATATAAATGTACACCCTAGTTATAATGAGGTCCAATGCTGGGTATTGGGCATTTGTTGGCTCCGACTTAGAACTTTTCCATCTTGGCTCCGCCCTCCGGCTTTCAAAATCCTAGCTCCCTGAGCCATACTCAGCACTAATGAGGTCCAACTATATTTTGTCTCTTTAAATGTCAATTACAGCACAAATTTCACTTAATCTTCGAATAAATTCCAACCTTTCATCTTCCTGTTTCTTCCTTTCAATTTCCCTTTCAATTTCCCTTTCTTTCTCTTCATAGTATTCTTTAAATTTATTACTTTTACTTCCTATTTCACGCCCAAATAGGCCTTTTATTTTATTTTTGTTAATTTTGGGTTTTGGCTCTTCATTTTGACCTTCCGTTTTACCCGACGATTCAGCCTCATCATTCGATTTTTTGTTTTTATCTTTTGGTTTAGACCAAGTTTCCTCAATTAAATCTTTTTGATTTTCATTATTTTCCATTGAAGTAATTAAACTCCATAATATTCCATTGAATATCAAGAGGATTAAAATATTACTAATTTTCATCCTAAATTACCGTTTTTACTAGAGAGCGAGCTGGATCTGGATCCAGACCTTGATTTTTCCTAGATCCAGAGTCCAGATCAAAGCATTTTTCAGAGTTCCTTGATTTTTCTTTGACTCAAGGTCAAGAATCTGGTCAAGGTACCCAACCAAAGTCAAGAATCATCGTTTTAGAAAGGCTAATTATAACTATTTTTATGAGGACACTTAGTGTTTCAACCTCTGGCAAGGATAATTAAATGTAGGAGGGGGGGGAATTATTTGAGTAAATAAGGTAATAATTAAAAACAAAAATATTTGCTTAAAAATTTTAAATTTTTTAAAATAGCAATTTTAAGAGAGATTTTGTTTACATGAATGCCCTTATCTTACTCGACTAATAAATATTATGAAATGGATTTATAGGCTGTAAAATGCCGCCAAAGTCAAAAAATATTAATTTATAAATAGTCTGAGAAAATAAAAAGAAAATATTTTTTTTGCACTTTTCTGTCAAAGAAAATATTTCACAATATCCCCTTCATATGATTTCACTCAACTAAGTTTTGAAGTGATTTTTTCGAATTTGAAATTATTTTCTAAAAATCCTGGTAGTCAATACATAAATATTCATTGAGAACATTCAACATTTTTTTCTGTTTCTAATTTTGATCATTTATAGGGCAAGTTGCTCTAGCAAAAACCTATAAGGAAAAACAAATGGAAGAAGCAGATGAAAAAACTTTTGAGAGACGGGTATCACAAGAAAATGAAATTGTCGAAAATGAGGAAAATGAACAAATGGAAGTTTAAAAAAATTGTTGAAAATTTTTGTATTTTATTAAAGTTTTTTAAAATAATTTTGTTGTATTTTTTTAAATTTTTTATACAAATATGTAGTAATTTGAAATATTTATACTTTTATTTCTAAGAACTAGCGGAGGAAAATAATGTAATAATTTAATGATAGTGATTTTTAGGGGCATAAAAAATATGGATATAAACTAGAGTTGATCAAGACGAGACCGATACCGAGATTCTCGGCTTTTTTCCAATATCGGTCTCGGTTTTTTCATTCTCGATTTCGAACCCGATACTGAAATTCTCGGTCCATTTCTCGGCGAGAAACGATACTGACTCAAAGAAACAAAATCCTCAATATTGTCCAAGTTTTCTCATTTATCGATCAACCTTTAAGGATATAATGGCTTTTTTAGGGGTAATTATCATTACTTTGAATTTTATTAGAATTATTTCTTGTACAATTAATCTAAAATATCATATTTTATGCAAACATTATTTAATTAAAATTTAAAAGAATATAGTTAAATTTAATTTAAAAATTTTTTTGTTAATATTTTTTAAGTTATTAATAAGTTATTAATTTATTAAAATTCCGTACAGATCAGGGAGATAGGTTCTTTTTTGGGTATTGCTTTATATTTTTTGGGTATTGCAAAATTTTTGGGTATTGCAAAAATTAGTAAACAGCACTGAATTGGATTGTTCTTTTTTCGTAAATTTTCAATATTTTACAATTTTTTTATGTTATAATTATATAATCAATTTAACAACTATAAATTTTATTCCAATTATATTTGAGCATATTTCACACCGGGTGATGTAGAAGTTGGATGTGCCAATCTTTAAACTAATTCTATTCGAATATAGTTTATGCTAATTTATATATAGGTATTTTTAATAATATAATTTATTAAAATTTTATATGTAAATATTATATGAATATATTTTTATATAATTATGTGTTCCTACAAATTAAATGGAATAGAATTTTGTTTGATACAAGAACTTGATACAAGATTTTTAAAATATCTTAATTTAATTTATATATTTTACCATAAATTTTATTTAAATTTAGATGTTTATTTTAAAATAATTTTTACTTATTTTAAGCTTTGCAAAAAAATTTAATTAAAAATATTTCATATAACTTCATTTAATTATTTAAATAAAATAAATCAAAATTTAAATAAATTTGTCTATAGAAACTTTCTAAACCGGTGTTGATCAATAGAAATAGAAACTTCAAGGAAGAAAAAACAAATTTCAAGGAAGAATTCCGAATTCTGTTCAGAATCTTCAGGTTCTTTTGGAACCTCACGCTCAAGTAGCGTGCGCACGCTAATTGCCTCAGGCGCACGCGAATTTTTCTAAAAAAGTTCAATAATTTTTCATTTAATTGCAAATAAATTATATTTTGTGATAAAATTTAATTTAAATAATGTGAAATAATTGATAAAAAATTTAAAGAACAATTTTCTACTAAATAACTGACATATTTGTTATTATAAAATTTATTTTTATAAATGTTTGGGTTTGGTTTGGCGGTTTTATTTAAATATTAAAGTATTCACAAGAATCAATATTAAGAATACTAATTAGTATTAAGAATACTTATAATACTTAAATTTATTGCTCCGTCGACAATATTCCAAAATTGTTTACTTTATATACTTATGTATTTTAATATAATAACTATTAACATTCAACACTATTAAGCATCAAAATTTAACAATAATTAAAATTGATATTTGACAAAATGATATAAAAACTATTATATAGGTTTTTGATTGAATCCGACCAGGAGCGCCATGTCGTATAATTATATTTATTTTATTTTAAATTTACTTTAGTCTGATGTTCAAATTTTCATTTAAAGTACAACAAATAAATTTAGTCAAGCCATGCTTTTATTATTCAATATTTTTGAAAATTAGTAGAATGAATAAGTAAATGAACAAGTTGCGCCATGTCGTATAATTAGATTATTTTATTTTTCGATTCATCTATACTTTTTATGATGACTTAAACTTTAAACATAATATTTAAAGAAAATAAGGAGTACTAAAATTCTTTAAATTGTCGCTTTTTAACGAATAATTAATTAACAAAAATCCAAAAATATATATTTATTAGACAATAATTTAAATGTAAATGTAATTGGAGAAGGTTAATTAAATTCTTTTTAAAAATAGTCGATTAACAAAAGCAAAATTGGTAAGAGCTCTAAGAAAGTTAAGCTGAATAAAAATTGTAGAAAAGCGAACAAGTGAATGTGTGTGTGAAGTGAATAACGAAGTGAATAAATCTGGGAAACATTGGATTGTTTAAAAAGGGGGACGAAGAATAAATTATAATTCAAAGTAAAAGAATGTGTTGATAAATGTGAATAATTATTTATATACATTTTTTCCTATTTCAAAATGGCAATTTTGACAAAATTACATATCGTTTAAAAATAATATTTTTTATAATATCATTTCATAATTAACATACTATATTAAAAACACAAATTTATAAATGTTTGAATACGTTTTTTTCAACTACAGAATCCTCCATTCTATTTAATTAACATCTGATTTAAATAATTATTTTTCGTTGTTATAAATTATAATATTAAAAATAGTAAAAATATATTGTTTTCAATTAATTTTTATAAAATTCTTATAAGGCATGCTTTCTATGAATTTATTAATACAAATGTAATTCGTAGTTAAAAATAATTTTTTGTTTAATTATTTATCTAAATGTTTTGATAATATTACAATATTATATTTATTAAAATGTTATCATGCTCATTTTTACAACTTGTTATATAATATCATTTTTTGAGTATATGTATTTTATGGTATTTATATAATTTATTTTTTGAAAAATTATTTGAAGGTTATATTAATTTAATATAATGGGACACGTAATTTCGGCATTTTATTGAGTCAGTTGATTTTTGAAGATTTTTTAAAAATTAATTTTTTTGAATTAAAGAATTATATAATATCAAAAACAAACAAAACTTTTAAACAACTTTTATTTTTTTTAATTTAAAAGTTCATTAAAATTTATTTTATTTTGAGCTTATAAAAAACTGCAATTTTTATGTATATTTTAATAATATTTACTGATAAAAAGTGCAAAATTGTTAACAGTTGAATTGTCTACATTAATAAAATGTAACTTTAATGTACACTGTGGTGCAAAAGTTTATATACACTATGGAAAATTTTCTTTAATGTACCGTATCTCGAGAAGTCGAAGTTTTGTCGAGATAATTTTTTTTCGCCTAATAGTTTAAAAAGTGCTCTTTCTAATAAGCTTTAGTTTTAAGAATAACCACCAGTACTTATTGAGATATACACCGTTTTCCCAAACTGCTTCAATTTTCTTCGGTGCAAAAGTTTATATACACTTTACAAAAATTGGATTTTTAGATAAACAAATGGCAGGAAAAATACAAAAAAAAATTATGTGAACATTTTCATCAATACTGAGTAGAAAATAAAAAAGAACGAATAGTGTATATATAGTGTATATAAACTTTTGCACCACAGTGTAAGCATGTTACAATAGATTGATTAAAATAATTTTTTAGAATAAATTTTAACAATTATTTTGTTGAAAATATTATTAAGATTTACATTAATTTAAGAATATATTTTTAAATAAATAATGTTATCTAAAAATAATTTTAACTAAATTACATTCATTGTAGTATATTAGATCTTTTACTTGAAATTTAATTTATGAAACATTAATTTATCATTTTGAAACACTACTTCTCGGTTTTCAGTAATTTTAAAAATGAAACGATAATTATTGATTACCTTGTGTAATTAAACTTTTACAAAAAATGTGAAACCAAAAAATAAATGAGTTAAATGTCGGTATTCGTAATTTTTATCAGATTTCATACATCAATTTTAATAAATATACAAGAATTGTGCCAGTATTTAAAAATTTATTAATTCAATAAAAATAATAATTTTATATAAATTTCAATAATTTTTCCTTCAACAAGAAAATAACAAAGATATTAATCCTATTTAAGATCTTTGTTTTTCATTAAAAGTAAACATTGGTACTTTGTACCTTTAAATTATTTTTACAAATGTTAATTAAATTTATATATTTTTTAACCTTTCAAAATTTTCATTTTATATTATTATATTTATATTTTAATTAAATTTCATTTCATCAATTTAAATAAGTACATAAAAATACAAAAATTGTTTTAG